TCAGACATTTCTTGTGATATACAAATAGCTCTATCACGTTGACTGTGCTTTCGATACTGTAATGAATTGGAATGATTTTCTTGCTGCGAAAGTTGTGATGAGGTGGCATTCATAACCATCGAAGTGGACAAGGAAATCCCGGGAATATTATTGCCCTTCTCAAATATTGGCCAACCGTTACTACTATCAATAGGTTGACCTTCCCACATTCCCCAAGATAGTACTTCGTCTAAAAAATGATGATCAAGTTAATGAATAATGTTAATAGTATTATACTGATGACAATCATGAAAATTTCATATTTTTAGCGCTATGCAAAATTCAAATTTAAATTTAAAATTAAAAAAAAAACTTGGCCAGTAAAAAGACAAAAGCAGTTTCAAACGGAAAAATAAAAGTCTGATTTAGTAATACTTATATGAAATAAACGCAAAAAGTATACATGAAATGATTTGAATTTAATTAAAACTCACAAAGCTTGCATTTAAATAACTACTATAAATAGGAAGTTTAATACAATCAATGTAATAAAAAAATTTTATAATTTTAAGCCAAATGAAAATAAATTGAAAATATTATAGCAAAAAATAAAGTTGGTGGAAAAATTCGAAAAAAAGACATTAATTTTTTTCCAAATTATTTTATACTAAAAAGTATTTTTGACAATTACAGCAACAAGGAATTATCAAATTTATCAGCTTAAAAGTTAATCAATTTTAAATTTATTGTAACATTTGTTAAATCTCGGCTTTACTTACCATGTCGTAAATTGTTATCAATTAAATAAGTTGAAAATACATCAAATTTTTAGCAGTTATTTTTAAATTGAAGTTTAGTTTTAGCAATGATGAAGGTTCATTTCAAATTGATATCCATAACTTTGGAGGATAAAGCTGAGATTTCAACTTTGAACTTATCAAAAGTACTCCTCAGAATTTGAAGTTGGAATAGTTTAGTAGCAAGAAGACAAGAAAGCAAATATAAGAGCTATCAAAAAATATTTGAAAAATATACATTTTAACTTTGAAATGAAGAAAACATCTTAAATAATTCCCGAGAGAGCTTTTTGGTACAAATTTTGGTCTAGATGTATAAAAACACTGATAGCTTGCTTGAATATAAATGCCAAGGCTTGGCCTTCTGACAGTAAACTAGAAAAATGGGTCTAGTCTAGAAGAAAATGAGTTCTAGTGCATGACTTATGAGCTATGTAGGAATGGTATGAGCAACAAATGTTGACTTTACTTTATTGAAAACAGGCAAAAAATGTCCATAATATTTAAGAATATGAGAAAAATTTAATTTTAGTTAGAGTTTAAACATGGTTATAGGTTAAAGAATTACATTTGATTTTTGTACATTTTATAAAGATCAGAAAATGAATAATTTTCTAGCAAAAATTTTTAGAATTTACAAAATTTTTCAAGTTCATTTTTCTTATTCTCATAATAAGCCAAGTCGAGAAATTAAATTTAAGAGTAAATCACTTCTGTTCAAATAATTTAAAGCGTAAATTTAAAATACTAATTGCTTATTTTAATACTAATTGTTTACTTTAAATAATCCCTCGCTCTTCGTTTAAATTCAAAATTATTCCAATTTATTATTTTTCCGATTTTCATTTTGCAACATATTTTTGCATCAACCACAATTATTTTTTCAACTTTTAATTGATCCAAAAATTCATATTTTTTGCAGTTAAAAATGAACAAAATCGAATAATAAAATTGCACTTTATGGAAAGTATAATTTTTGGTTCAAACAAAAAGTATAACCTCAATTTCTAGCAATAAAAACCTAAATTTTCAAACATATTTAAGCAGAATTTGCATAAAAATGAAATGAATCGAAAATTTGCATATTGCTTACGATAAACTTTAAAATGCTTAACTTATTAAAGTCAATTAAAAATTATATAAAAAGTAAGATTGAAAAGATGGCACTTTCATGGTTTATAAATAATCAAATTGGTAGCAATTACTGGCCATATTCAAATTAGCAACAATAAATTGAAATAGTAATTATACTGTTCCAAATAAAATCAAAACACATTACCAATGAATGCAATTAAAAGCTGCTGACTGAATTTCCATAGCAGAATTTGGTCAGCAAGCAATGATTACAATATTTGACTTTTGTATACTTTTTTGTATTTTGTACCAAAAAAGATAAACAGAAGTATGGAATAGATTTTTAAAAATTGAACTGTATGAAATTTAATGAAATTGCGATTACTTTTTAATTTGAAATTACAATCATTTGCCTGAAAATTGACATATATCTAAGTTTATTCCATTCTTACTAGCAATTATTGATTTAGAAGATTCAAAGTGATTTTTCCTGAAATAGTTGCTAGAGTTAATTTATGGTTTCACATTTTTATCATAAAACAAAATCAGAATCTTTTTTTGAAAATATTTCAAACAAGTATTTTGCGAACATAATTATGAGAAAAAAGCAACAGTAAATTTTTTTATTCCACAGAAAAACATTAAATAACAAATATTAACATATTTGCAATAATATCAGAATTTGAATACTACAATTTTTAGCTGGAATTGTATCAAAATACAAATATTAAAATATTTTATTCTAAGCAAGCAATAAAGCTTTTCTGTTGCTAACACGTTTGATAAGAACTTGGAAAGAAAAGAAAATGATTGATAAGAATTTGAAATGATAAAAATAAAATCTATAACAGAAAATATCACGTTTTTTAGCCCAAAACGTTAAAATTATGAAGTAATCAGTATTGCAAGTATCAAAAATATCAAAATAAATTTAAATTATAGTTTTCTTTAGGAAACACGCAAGTGTTTCATGCGATGTGCAAAATTAGCCTGCAGATATCCATCTGCTAGGCTAAATTTTTTTTAACGATTATTTAAAACCAAAAAATAGGCTAATTTTCAACTATCACAGAATGAATTCGCACATACAAATGCATTAATTTACATATTTATGTACAAAGTTTCATTTGCAAATATTCAGCAATTACTGAATAAAGGTTATAATAAAGTCAATAGAGTAATTGTAGAGTTAAAAATTATTTATTAAATGATTTTCTTATTGTTTTTGCAGACGCACAAATTATTTGAAGAATTGTGGTAATTTCATAAATCTGATTAAAATAAATCAATAAATCGATTGACCGATTAACTAATTAAATATTCAATACTTAACAAATGGACAAGGTCATCTGCGCGAATTTTTCCTTCCAAGACACTTTTCTTTTGATAACGTGAAGTATTCCATATTTCGATTGAATGATCAAATAAATATCACACTTTTCCCTCGCTACTAACAACTTTTGGTCTAATATGATTTGATTTGATTTGATTTGATCAGATACAAGTTCAACTGATGACAACAATGATAAGTAATTAACAATGCTTGCATGACTATCAACTATTTATCCTTTCATAGTTTAGCCAAATGATATAACAAAAATTTTTTAGCTTAATTTCAAAAATTTTTCAAAATTTAAAAAAATCATAAGTCTAAAAATTTTTTAATTGAAGTAAAATGAATGAAAAATCTTAAAATACCTAACTAAAATGAGAATAAATACAATGAAAATAAATTTTGCTTCAAATAATAATTCATTCTGTAAATGTGTCTGAAAAGATTTGAAATAATATTTGAGAAGAAAATTTGAATAAAATAAAAGTTCCCATTGATGGCATTAAAAGTGACCTTCCACAATGTGATTCAAGGAAAAAAAAA